GTGGTGGCGGCATGACTAGCCAGGATCTGGCATAAAGAGGAGGAATGACTGTTAGAATCAGAGGCATCAGATACAGATGTAGGATTCTTTAAAATATATGAGACAGGTTGAGTCAATGAAGGTCTAGAGGAAACCGAGCAAAAGGGAGAGAGTTGAGTGTTTATGTGCTGAGGGGTAAGAGGTAGGGATGAAGTCGGGATTGAAAATGAGGAAGAAGAGGGGATACTAGATGAACCGAGGTTCCTGATTGGTTATTTTGATGGAAAGATTACCCGAATTATGTTAACATTGATCAGACTGTAGCTAGAGCACATATACAGAGGTCGGGAGTTCAGCTGCAGAGACAGAAGACACTTCATGGAGTGAATGTATGACAACAGATTTGGGTTTTTGAGCTGGGAAAGGACTTCTTAAATATGATTCAAAAGTACTAACCACAGGCAAACATTTGATAGATTTGTCTACATCCAAATAAGTTGATAGAGTCCTTTCAGCTAGAACTGCCATCTTCTAGTAATTCACCAAAATGATGACCACAAAGGAAAGGGAGAGGTACCTGCAATATATTCTCGGCTTTTTAGAAAACATGAAGTTGTTCCTTTGGTCACATGCATGTGAACCCACAAGGTGATATTGTAGACATCAAGAGAAGGGGTACTGTTCCAAAAGGAATACCCCACAATGTTACCAAGGCAAAACTGGAGGAGTCTACGTACTACCTATCTTGCTGTTGGTATTGTTGTAAACAAGCAAGCGAAAGGCAAGATTCTTGCAACTGGGGATTAAGTAACAGTCATGAGGGCAGTGGTTACTGGACTGGGGAGGGTGGGGCCTCACTGGTGGTCTTGGAGTCAATTTGTGCGCATTTGTAAGAGCCAATTGTTAAGTTTTCAGGAATTTTGCAAGCTGTTGGCTAAACACAGCCATCATTAAAAATTAAATTGTATAAACTTACAATTGAATAGATTATATTTTTAAAAGTTTAAAAAAAAAACCTTGAAATGGGCTGCATCTTAATTAACTACATTTTACTATCATGTATGCATTTGAGGTTTTGTCTTTTGTCTGTTTTATGGTGGAAACACTATATAATGCCATGTTAATGTGCATCTCTTCCAAACTCATGCTGTTGGCTTGAAATCAGCCGTGGTGGGAGTATTTACACCAGGGAAATTGGCAAATGCTACAAATCAATGCCCCTTACCCTCATTTCAGAAAACTGGTTGTTACACATTTACCAGCACACCACTGACTGTGGTCCTTAAAGAAATCAGAAGTGATACCAGGAGTGAGGGAAATCAGAGCATGAGCTATCTGAAGGGCAGAGAAGCCTTGTACATTCATCCCCCAAGCAGTAGTTTGGGCAGAGTACAGCAAAGGTGGAGGCCTGGAAGCTCGACCCAATCTTTTTGTACCCATACACTCTCCAGATTTCTTCAAAATCTTGCTGGGATGGTTGCAGCCCAGAGCAGAAGTGTCAGGAAGCAACTTTGGGGGAGATTCCCAATTCTATGCTGAACTGGGACTCACATTTCTCTTGGCAAGAGATGAGATGAGTCAATGGTGCCATCTAGTGTTCAAGAACAGATTGGCTCCAAAGAGAGTGATCAGAAAAAGATTTCTCTTGATCTGGGCCCTGGAAACATATTGACTTCCAGTTTCTTCTTTCCTTGTCCCTATTTTCTTTTCCCACTTCCATTTCCTCCCTTACCAGGTCAATTTTTATCTACTCCCCCAACAAAAATAGCCATTAAATTTTTGGAAGATCTCAACTTTGTGTTGTTCCCAGGCAAAAATGGGTAATGCTGACTCGAACGGCATAGGACTATATAAATCCGTACTTGTCTACATTATGAATGATAATTTCTGATGAATTTACTTGAGGAAGTTTTACGCATTTTATATATATATATATATTTTTTTTTTGAGACAGAGTCTCACTATGTTACCCGGGCTAGAGTGCCGTGGCGTCATCCTAGCTCACAGCAACCTCAAACTCCTGGGCTCAAGTGATCCTCCTGCCTCAGCCTCCCGAGTAGCTGGGACTACAGGCATGTGCCAACCATGCCCAGCTAGGTTTTTCTGTATATTTTTAGTTGTCCAATTAATTTCTTTCTATTTTTAGTAGAGATGGGGTCTCGCTCTTGCTCAGGCTGGTCTCGAACTCCTGAGCTCAAACAATCTGCCCGCCTCGGCCTCCCAGAGAGCTAAGATTACAGGCGTGAGCCACTGCGCCCGGCCTACGCATTTTCTCTTGCGGGTCACATGAATCAAATGTTTCTCTGCCTTCCCATATGTCCCATATCCTCCTTATTTTTTAGAGAGAGCAGATAGAAGTAGTTTTGTTAGCATGTTGTAGTTTAACAACCCACTCTAATCCATTCTCAAGTTTTATAATATTATATGTTATATATATGTTTAATATATTTTTGTAGGGAAATTGTAGAAGAAAAGGGCTGTTTGTAACTTCCCAGTGAATGGGATTATTTCTTTCTTTTAAGAGGACCTGTGTTAAGTCATTAATAATGGGATATGGTTGAATTCTCATAGCTGAAGAGTTCTCCAGAAATGGGAGTAAAATTCTGGGTCTCTTCTTCCTCCTTGAAAGGTTTACTTTGCATCTAGCACATGGAGAAGTAATATAGTAGCCCCTCAGTAATGATGACTTCTGTTTTGTTCTTTTAGTGACTGAGCAAAATTAAAGAGCATTTAGTTGGTTGGTCCAAAGCTCTTGTTCCAGTTCTAACAGTTTATATGTTTTCATTAAGGATAACTAACCCATCAGTTGAGGGATATATCAGATGGTTTCAAACAGAAAACTGGTAAGGAGTAAATACCATCCTCTCTGTAACGTGTATAACAGGATCCACCTGAACCCAGTAACAAGACACTCTAGAAGGTGTCAGGAAATGAAGTGAAGCCAATGGTCACAGCTATGGAGATGAGATGCAGGCTTGGGATTAGGATACTTCTTCAATGTTTTCAAAAACAAAAGCTACTTAGAAATCTCATCTCCTGAGTGCCAGACTACGTAAATGTAAGGCTTTATTTTAGGTGTGGGCCACGGGTTCTGCAGTGCAGCCAGCTGCTATTCGTATAAGCCAGACTTCAACAGAAGCCCCACTAGGCTCGCCCCTTACACATGATGGCAGCACTTTTGCCTTAAAAAAATGTGCCTAAGTGACTCTGCAGGCTACTGGCTATTTTCTTTAGAAGTAGGAATCGAAGACCCTGTTAGGAAGGTAGAAGTCAAGTTTGCCCCCATGTGGCTCAAACTATTAAATATAACAAGGCCTGGGTACTCCCATGTTCTTAGATGCTCAGTAAACATTTCAATTCATCAAACTATGACAAACTTAAAAGCCCCGGTGTTGTGCTATTTCATAGGACCCTGGGGAAGCCTTTTAGGTCCAAATGATGCTATTAAAGGCAGACCCGAGTCCTGTGTGGTCTCATTTCAGGTGTGCACTCGCCCTCGAGCCTTAGATACAGGACTCACTCCACATCCCCCTGCCTAAAGCCTCAGAACTGTCACATGCCGGCATCTTCCCTACCTGTTTTCCTCTCGTCCATTCCCTGGTGAGGGTTAATGGTCCAGGTGCCCTGTCCCACAGCAGCCTATTCTAAACATGGCAACCAAATCTCAAAAGCTTCAACGCTCCTGTGGTTTTGGATGTATCTTAAGTTTTAAACTACGTATTTCCAATGTTTTGTGCAGTTAGATACAACCATCTGACTTTTCACGGCTGAAAAAGTAAGACTTTGTTCTATGCAGTTTTCCCTTTACCATCTCTTTTTATCTTAGAATCTTAACCCTGAGGGGAGCAAGTAAGAGCTGTTTTACACCTTATTGCAGCTTGAGTATCCCCGATCTGAAAATTAGAAATGCTCCAAAACCCGAAACATGTTGAGCACCGGCACGATGCTCAAAGGAAATGCTCACTGGACTATTTGGATAAGGGATGCTTAGCCATTAATTAAGTATAACGCAAATATTCCAAAATCCAAAATATTTCTGGTCCCAAGCATTTCAGATAAGCGATACTCAACCCAAATTTCTACCATTTAGCTCTTTGGCGGGTCTATAGACTAAAAATCAATGCTTCTGATCACTCTGAGGTATCGTAACCTCATGAAGTGGTTTCTGAGATTCAACTGACTTTTTGTGCTATTTTACTGAATTATTTTAAATCTTTGAACATTGATAACCCATAGAGTACATTAAAGAACTAAGAAGGTTCTCACTGCTCAAGAAAGGAAATAACCACATGACCACTGTATGTCAAATGATTAAATACCTTATTATTTTATTTTTGAAACAGGGTCTCACTGTCACCCAGGCTAGAGTGTAGTGGCGCACTCATAATTCACTGTAATCTCAAACTCCTAGGCTCAAGGGGTCCTCCCGCCTCAGCCTCCCGAGTAGCTGGGAATACAAGTGCATGCCCACCACCAAGCCAGGCTAATTTTAAAAATTTTTCATAGAGGTGGGGGGTCTTGCTCTTGCCTCAGCTGGTCCTAAACTTCCGGCGTCAAGCAATCTTCTCGCCTCCGGGCCTCCCAAAGTGCTAGGATTGCAGGCGTGAGCCAGTGTCTGGCTAAGTACCTTATTTAATTTGCTCCTCTAGGAGTCCTGTGCACTTATTTGGGGGAAACTGTTCCACTCTTAGTACCACGCCTGTTAACCTTGTGGTCTGATGTACTTAAGATCTGCTGCAGTGGTAAATGAATGTGTCTCTTTTGAAAAACTCTACAGAAATGACTGCAACCTACTTTACAGATGAAGATTCTGAGGCACAAACTAGATCCCAGGTCTTTGGCGCTCAGTGGAGAGCACTCCTCACTATAGCAATCTGCCTGTTTTATTTGAAGGAATGAGACCCTCTTTCATAAAAGATACTAAAAGAATTCCTTAAGGCAGTTTCATTGAAGGTGTCTTGGTTGCTTCTGAAAACAACGGATCACTACTCCCAAAGTCAAAAACGACTAAAACACAGATGTAAAAACCAAGCCATTTAATTGTGTCTTTGAAGGTAAACAATATATGGAGCTGGATCCCCAGCCCTGAGAATGCCAGAGCTACGGGTCCAAACGCAGTATGGTATTCTCAACGGAGTTCAGAAGGGTCAGACCTCAAGCTGTTACGAGGCAGAGAACGTATGGAATTCATGCATTCCATTTAGCAATTTTGTTAATTACCAGAACCAGATCCCAAGAGTCTTTCAGGATGGGGAAAATTCAACTCCTGGTTTTACAGATAAAAGAATGAAGAGTACCAAAAATGTTATGTCGACTTCTCTTCATTTTTCTCACACCATCTGGAGCCTGAGCTAGCACATCCCCAACTCCCAGCAGCTGAAGCTGCAGTTCAGGTTCGAGATCAGTCCCTCTATCCATTCACTTCTGTGTAATGCCACAGCAAGGGTGACTGAAGGCAGAGAGCTCTCATCAGGACAGCTTTGTAACAAGCACTTAAAGTGAAAAAGAACCCTCTAGCAGCACACTGATTTAGTTCATAAGATTTTAATTTACAAATTAAAAAAAGCTACATGTTTTACTTTTTCTCCTTTTTCTCTTCTTTCTTCACGTCACTCTTTTCCTTATCTTTATCTTTCTCTTTGTCATCTTTTCTATCCTTTTTGCTCTCTTCCTTTTCCTGCCCTTCTTTCTTCTCAGCATCCCGGTTGGCGATCTTGTTGTTGATGAGGTTGTGCAGGGCAACCACGGAACGGATCAGCGAGGCCAAGTACACCACCACCATCTGGTCGTTGGTCTTCAGGTAAAAGGCCTTGACGAACTCCTGCAGGCTGACGTCTGGCAGCAGGTTGAAGACGTCCTGCAGCTGGTAGATGATCTGGTGGTTGATGGGCAGCTTGCCTGTGGCTACTTTATCCAGGTAGCTCCTGATGTCCAGAAGCTTGGAGTTCAGTCCCTTCAAACCATGCACTTGGTTTGTGATCCGCTGGGAAAGAGTGCCCACTGTAGTGTCTTTGATGTCTCTGTAAGAACCCACAATAAGGGCAAGAAAGAGCACGAGGCCACCAGATTAGCACGTGAGTTCTCCCATCCTAAGAAAACACCCAGCTTTGTTGGAGGGGAAAGTTTTCAAAAGAAAAATGTTACCTCTCCATTTGATAAAGATTTGGGTATAAATTGTTTTAATTTTATTTTCACTTGGGGCACATATTTTATCTTTCTCACCAGAGGGCATTTTTCAAAATTTGATTATAAAAGCTAAAATAAAGCCATTTTCACTTAAAAACAAAGACTGGGCCAACAGTTAACATCTGCCAATAACTTTCTGGGCAACACTGTGTTATGAAGCTCTCTACCTTGACTTCCTTGTTCCTAAAAACGATGGCATTTTCATCACCTGTGTCTCTAGGATGTTTTGAGAAGCTTCAATCAGTAATTTTTAAAACTCGAAATTACTCATCAGTTGATAAAAACTATGACCTTTTGAAATAAGGGTTTTATAGATATAGGATTTTACTTATTTTTTGTAGAGACAGGGTCTTGCTATGTTGTCCAGGCTGGTCTCAAACTCCAGGCCTCAAGTGATCCTCCTGCTTTGGCTTCCCAAAGTGCTGAGGTTACACGCACGTGCCACCACACTTGGCCAGATATAGGATGTTAAAACAAAACCCATCCTAAGATGAAGATTTTCTGCAGACAATGGGCCACATTCGCTGGAAAGGCCAGCCAGTGGGGTGTGCAGGCTGCATTTATTTCACACATCTGCTCCTGTCACGGTCGACATTATAGTTTCTGAACAAGATGTGTTAACCACACAGTCATAAATTGTAACTCAAGATACATTGGAGATGACCTAGTTCAATGATGACATCAATTTATAGACACGAAAGTTCCGCAAAGAGACTGTGATTTGTTCAGAATCATTAGTGGACGGCCCAGGACCAGAACCCAGGTCCCCACACTCCTGATACAGGTTTCCTTACACCGTGCAGCCTCTCGGGCAGCTAATGATTACAATGCTGTGCTAAGGTCTCACCGTAACAAGTGTTCGACTCCAACTTCCTCAGCTTCCTCTGCTCCAATTTCACTGGTCACGTGCTCGAATGTTTTTGAGGTTGGAGTTCCATCCTGGGAGAGGAGGCTTAACTATAATTATTTACTTAAAACAAAGTGAAATAAACTGGCATGTGTTCCTTTTCACATTTTGAGCCTTCTGCCTTAAGTCAGCTCATTTCATGGGTGCATTACTGTTACTTTTCCATGGAAAAGAGAGGTAAGGCTTGCTTTGAAAGCTTAGCCTTCACAGCTACAATCACTGTGGTGATATTCAGTGATGAAGTCTGCTGGGGCATTATCACGAGGTTGTCTGTTTGTTGTGGTGGCCACTAAATTGTTTTCTGAGGATAAGCTTTTTTTTTTTTAGGAAAATCTTAATATTCCCTTAAGCCTACACTGGGATGGACACTGAGGGAAGTCTCAGGTTGATTCTTAAAGTATGTAGTTCTTTCTAGAATGGGCAATGGGCAATATACAGAACACCTGTTTTCGAGGCAAGCTCATGCCAGAAAATGTAACTTCTAACCATGTATTGTTCCTTAGATTCAATAACAGAGAACTAAAACAAGCAATCAGAGTAACCAGCTTTCTGGTGGTCTGAATTATTCAAAGGATCTGCTGGGGATATGGTCCCCTGCATCACCTAGTGACTTCCTGATGGGACCTGGGAGACACTTTCCTCAGACCCAGTGTCAGAAGAGGCTGCATATCTCCTGTAAAGGCGGGATGGCACAATGGTGAGAGCAACAGGCTCTGTAGCCAGAAAGCTTGGGTTCAAAGTCTGGCTCTGCCGTGTACCTAATAAAGGAGCTGCAGGACCTTGGGCAAGTCATTTAACTTACACTAAGTGCTATAAATGTTAGCTGCTGTTATTTTATTTAGAACAGTGTGAATCCTGCAAGGGACATTCTCTTCTTTGCTTTGGAAGCCAGGATGGCCAGAGTCTGCAAAAATCCTGTAGGATTTCCTGGCAAGGCTTTTCGGGCATTAACTCTTCTCTAGTTTCATCTTACAACATGACCCTGATGTCTCCTTTATCCCCTTACTAAAACAAATCTTGTTTCATTGGGTTGTGCATGTATGAGCAACCTCAAAATCCTTTTCTAAATATTTTGTGCTCATTAGAAAACATACACATATATACATATATACTATTTTTTTTGGGGGGGGAGATAGTCTCGCTCTGTTGCCCCAGGTAGAGTACAATGGTGTTATCATAGCTCACTGCAACCTCAGACTCCTGGGCTCAAATGATCCTCCTGCCTCAGCCTCCCAAGTAGCTGGGACTACAGGTGCATGCCACCATGCCTGGTTAATTTTTCTATTTTTGATAGAGATGGTCTTGCTCTTGCTCAGGCTGGTCTCGAACTCCTGACCTCAAGTGATCCTCCTGCCTCGGCCTCCCAGAGTGCTAGGATTACAGGAGTGAGCCACCGCACGTGGCCCATATAAACATTTGTACATCAAGTCCTATCTAGAACTTTAATTCAATTTTCCTGGAAACAAAGAAAAGCTATATTCTGGTAGCTCTTCACTTTTATACTCAAAGCACAACCTAATGAACCACACAGCAGGCACTGGATGCTGTAGAGCTGAGCATTCAGGTGTCAAATGATCACACAGATAGGTCTTGCCATCTAGCTCTTGGTAGCGCTCACTTATTCTATTTGAAAACCTATAATCTAGTCTACAAGGACTGGAAATCTTCAAGGAGAAAAGCATACAGGCACAGAGGAGGCTCAACTGTGGACACAGCACTAGAGTAAGACCCAGCTCACCAGGCGCTGCATGTCCTTTACTGTGAACATCTCTGGACAATGGTTCAAATACTTTATTTAGTATTCAATACTCAATTTCATTTATAAAAGGGGAATTTAGATTTCTATGGTCCCTCTGTTTCTAAATTTGGAGATTGAAAAACTCAAAGGGGAAAAAATTTAAGATCAACCACCTTCTCTTTGTTAGAGAGAAAAGGATTTGTTGACTTGAAAATAGAAAAAAAATCACCCACGAAGTAGCAAATCTAATCTCCTAGGCTCACAGCAAGATGACTTACATCATGAACTTCTTCCACTGAAATATATGCTTCTGTGGGCAGCCCCAGGTCCTTCGGCTTCACATCGATAATGACCAGTACCTGGCAAAGAAACACATCTTAGCAAACCACCTCACACCTGGTAATTTCAGCCATTCTTCTATCAATTTCATTCATTCAATTAGAAACGAGCCAGAATTTTTAGCAAAAATGAGTTTATACTTCAAACTGTCTCATCATGTGCTCTGTTCTTTGTTCCTTCCCCTTAACAAGCTGAGGGGCAGTATAGTGTGGTTACTAAGCACAGGGACATCAAAGTCAACAGAGCCAAAATTTCAACCCCAGTCCGACCACTTACCAGACCTGCTAACCATACCAAACCTTAGTTTTCCCATTTGTAAAGAGGATATGTAGTTACCGAGAGGATTGAGATAATTCATATATCTGGCACTTAGCAGGTGTTAACTGTTATTTACTAAATATATTAGGTTATAGTATACTTCATAGAACACTACAAATTGACACAAGTTTATGAAGAAAAAGTAGTGAACTGATTTGCTACCCAAATCCTTCCTAAGATGCGCTTATTGAGTTGGCTGGCAAAGAATATCATCCAAGAGCTTTAAAAACAGAGAGCACTCACTGAGTTGGGACAGTATCTTTTCATGAGTTCATTGATGGCGATGTCATTCTTGTGTAGTTTAGGGCCTGTGTGGTACCACCCAACTATTCTTTCTCTGGCTGGGAAGAAAAAAATTAGTCGGTTTTAATTGTTTTGTGAAGATCTACACAATTCCCTCAAACAGGATAAAAACATCAGTGGTTATGTCCTCTATCTTTTTGAAAACTCCAGACACCTATTTTTAAACCTTGACATACTTATGACATCTAAAACTCAAAGACAGCATTCTCAGAAAATAAGCAGTATGGGAAATCCGGAAAGCTATATCCCAGACTAGTTTAGGAAACCAGTCATACATGAAACAACTAGAGAACAATTCTAAGGCAATATATAAACAAATGCAAGTTCATGTCACATAAATGGCAACTGTGACTGTTGTGGGAATAAACATATCTAAAGCAGTGTGGCTGGTGTAATGAAATAAAATGAAAACAATACCTATGACACAGAGATACTCACTCCTCTACTACCACTAGTCTTACTTAAATCTAGATAAGTGAAAGAGCCTTTGACACTAAAGGGAACAGTTATAAAAAAAGAAAACACACACACACATCAATGCCATGCTCTAACATCTTCTAAGAAAATCAAGACATACCATTGACTTTCTTAAACATTCCATACATGTTTTCCAAATAATCATGGTCTAAAAACCAGACAGAATCATCTTTGTCATCTTCATCAAAAGGTACTAAAGAGAAAAAAATACATAAGATACATAAGTTTAGGGTTCTAATACATAAGTTTAGGGTTCTTGATAGAAATCACTAGAAAGCAGGTCACAAGTAGAGACCCTAGACCAGATCTGACTCACATGTTTGATTTATCCAAAATGGCATTAAAAAAATTTTTTTTTTTTTTTTTTTTGAGACAGAGTCTTGCTCTGTCACCCAGGCTAGAGTGCAGTGGCATCATCATAGCTCACTGCAACCTCAAACTTCTGGGCTCAAGTGATCCTCCAGCCTCAGCATCCCGAGTAGCTGGGACTAAGTTTTCTATTTTTGTTAACAGAGACAGGGCTCTCACTCTTGCTCAGGGGGGTTTTGAACTCCTGGCCTCAAGTAATCCTCCTCTGCTTCAGCCTCCCACGATGTCAGGATTTAGGTGAGCCACCATGCCTGGCCTAAAATTTTTTTTGAGTTGCTCTCAAGAACTGGGAGAGTTTAAATAAAAATCCAGACTTCCAGCTTCCCTTAAAAAAAAAATGGAAGACCTGGCAACTACTGGCTACAGTGAGACAGGGCTGCCTCCTTTATAAAGAACCATGCTCTTCAGTTCTCTAAAAGCCCTACCACTTCCTAATTATTTCCCATTTGGCAAATTACACAACTGGCTGATCCTTTCAGACACTGGAGTTAATGATCTCTAGTCCAGAGATCATGCCAGCAATTATTTCCTTGTTGTTGCTTTAATCATAAAAGTAATACATGGGCACATTCTTGTAAAGATTCATGATAGGGAATAAAAGGGCAAAGTTCCCCATCTCTCCCCTTGCCTACCCATAACCATAAATAGTTTAGCGCAGGAGTTGACAAATTGTACTGGCTACCTGTTTTTATAAAGTTTTACTGGGATATAGCCACACTCATTTGTTTACCTACTGCCTATAGCTGCTTTTGTACTACAACAGCAGAGACGAGCAGTTGCAGTGGAGACCACATGGCCTGCAAGTTTAAAATATTTACTGTCTGGTCTAGTGTATAGCCTGTAAGCTCTCTTCTACACTTCAGCAAGTCTGAAATAGAATCTCTGGGTTGTACTAAAAAATAGTAACAAATGTTCATTTTAGGCTGGGTGTGGTGGCTCACGCCTGTAATCCTAGCTCTCTGGGAGGCCGAGGCGGGTGCATTGTTTGAGCTCAGGAGTTCGAAACCAGCCTGAGCAAGAGCGAGACCCCGGTCTCTACTAAAATTAGAAAAGAAATTAATTGGACAACTAAAAATATATAGAAAAAATTAGCCAGGCGTGATGGTGCACGCCTGTAGTCCGCTACTCGGGAGGCTGAGGCAGGAGGATCGCTTGAGCTCAGGAGTTTGAGGTTGCTGTGAGCTAGGATGATGCCACGGCACTCTAGCCCAGGCAACACAGTGAGACTCTGTCTCAAAAAAAAAAAAAAAATGTTCATTTTAACCATGCTCAGAAAAATGTAAAAGTTGTGTCTTTTACCTGCAAAACTATTGGATACATCAAGTACTTTCTTTTGCCATGACCCCAAAAGCACACCAACAACACGCTTCTGATTTCCGACCTTGCCGATTCTGAATGAGAAAACAGATGATCAGTCTGGATAGGCTTCGAAATGTAAACTCAACAGTTACATACTTAATGGGAAATAGCAATGGCGTAGATACAATTTAGTTTACCTGTGAACTAATCTCCCTGAACAAATGTATTTATAATTGGATTAGGTTAGTTCTTAATGCAAAGGATAATTCGTGAACTTTATACCAATTCACACTGGTAGTTTTTACTTACCACTGACTGCAAAGTAATACGTTCCTGGAAAAAATTCAAACTTTATAGAAATTTAAAATGAAGAAAACAAAAACTTCCCAAATCTTAGGATTTTAGACTACTACTTGTGAAAACACGTTTAAGTTATGCTACCACATTTAACCTTTCCTTTGCAGCTCTCCTTTCTCCTTTAAACTTTCCCCGTCCTCAAATCTTTTCAGGGATAAAGATGCTAGAGTAGAACCAGTTTTATGGCCTGGCTTCCGGGTTGCCAGTTCTCCTCTGGAATATATGTTCAACGTCTAAAAGACCCACTAGATGTAATTTATTCTTTGTGAAGTCTAGAGGCTCAGAAAGTGATACTGACCCAGAGGCATGTGTATGCCGTTTGTGGCCCCTCTGGTTGGCTCATTAGACAGAAGTCACAAACAAGCTGGTGACTCATCACACACAAAGGAGGACTGAATGAGAAAGATTTTACTTTAGAATTTCTATCTTTATTTCAAACCCCCCCCCCATGCTTTTCTCCTAAGGAGTTTACAAAGTGTTTTGCTTATATACTCTCATTTCATCGGTCTTCAAGAATTCTTTAACCACTAGCAAACGTGAGACACAAAAACAATACAATTCTATGCTAAGGAAAGACAAAAGCCACATTTCCACTACATAGGAAATTAAATTTCCTCAAAAGTTACTACTTTCACGTTTGTTTAATTGTAATATTTTTCTTGCCATATAGTTGGCAAATCTATAAATGCTTACTAAATTTGGGGTTTGGATTGAAAAGAGTTGGCGATTCTGTATTACTTGGGGCTGTGAATTTTTTTTGGGGGGGGCGGAAATGAGTTTAACACACATTGAGTTTCCACCCTTCCAAAGAAACTTCCACACTCATGGGCTCTTCTTTTGGTCTACAGAAGTCCATTTGTGTTTTTTAAAACCCTGCATTTATCTGACACAGCAGCCAGAGCTCTTAACAAGTGCCTGAATACAACTGAAATGGTGCCTGCCCGTTTGCACTCCTAGTATCCCATGGGAGAAAAACAGTAATTACTGTACAGTAGAAAAGCCACATATCCTGGTAGACCGAGGGTCCTTTTCTGGCTCTGGATGAATTAGCTGTACAAAGCAAGTTGCGGGAGAATGGATACTTAGCAACCATAACTTTACAGCAGATGCTCCCAACTGCTCTTCCCATTTGCCAATTCAAGTAATAATCTTGTAAAACTTATGAACACGTGCAACAGGTCTAGCAGGATGAACGGCTCCAAAACAAGCAAGGGGTGGCGGATGTACACCCTCAAACAACGAACTTACTAGGTGTCCTTGTGAAGTTTTCTTACTTTATTCATTAACGCCAAAATCTCCAAGTGGTCTCGTTTTTAAAAGAAAAACTGACACCTCATCTACATTTTAAGATATCATCAAACTAGATTCCCACTTAGAAACTTTCACAGGTTAAAACCTCGGCCAATCCAGGAAGCGCTTCGGGGCGGTGAGACCAGAATTTCGGTGACAGCCTTCAGAGGGTACGGAAGCGCGAGTTTGAAGTGCCTTCCTACGAGACCGAGTTTTCTCGGTGAAAAGGGGCGGACGAAGTGACAGATGGGCACCGACCTGGGGGCGGGGGTCAAGGCCAACTGGAACTTGCCCCCACACCCTGGCATCATCCAGATCTTGGTAAAAGAAACAGAGAGCCCAGACCCCAGAGTGGCGGCTGGGTCAGGGGCGTGATGCTGGGGTGACTTCGGCTTCGTGAGCCGAGGTTGGTCTGGGCCCGTCAACAGTCAGCCGCCCGTCGCCCCATCTGCGTCCCCAGCTCGCCCGCGGCCACCGCGCCATCCCCAGCGTGCCAGTGACTCAGCACCGGCCGCATCGCCAGCCCGGCTAGGCCACCCAGCGCCGCCCGCTCACCGGTTGAAATGATCCACCACACTGAGCAGCACCAGGGGATGGACCACCACCTTCTGCACCGCCAGCTCTGGCATCGCGACACACCCAGCCCGCCAGGCCTGGCTCCCTGCGACCCGCAAATACCGGCAGCAGCTCCTCCAGGCCCACCTCCTCCTCTTCCGGTTCAACAGCAGCCGCGCGGCCTCCGTCTTCCGCTCCCAGAGTGCCTTGCGCGGCGTGCCCGGACTTTCGCCTTGGCCGCCATCTTGAGAAGGGGAAAGTTCTGGAGGAAGGCGGGGCCGCCCGCGGTCGCCTGCCTTGCGTGTCCCTGAACTTGAAAGCCAAAGAGACACTGGCGGCTGATAAACCTTGACCTTCTGGTATTGGGCCTGCACTGTCACCTGCAGCGGCTTTTCGCCTCAGTTCCTTCCTAGCTCACCCACACCCCGTTTTGAAGAATATAGAAAAAATACTTAGAAATATGTAAATAGTAAGTTTATATTTCCACCACCCAGAAAATGTTCACCTTTGCTTCAAGTCAAAATCCTCCAGGATTTCTTAGAGGAACTTGAAGTCGCTAAAATTATAGCATGCTTTTAATGTAAATTTGTTAATTTATCTCTCTCTCTCATCGTCTGAGGCATTTCTCCTCTATCGTTACTGTGGACATTTTGCAGATAAAGTGGCAACCTGCAGGTTTCCACCTGTCTTTATATTACTGTGTAACTGGGGCCGCTGGAGGAGGGAGATTTGTGCCGGGGGTCAGACCATAGAGGTGGCTTTTCAAATCAAAATTTACATAAGGGTTGAAGAAAAAAATGGAAGGCAATAAGGAAGCACGTTGTGATATTTAGCTATGAAAGAAAAAAAGGAAGACTAAAAGGGGAAATATAGGAAACAAGGCCTAAAACTTATTTGGAGAAGGAGGCAGGTTCTATTAAAATTCATACAGGTTTATATCCTGTTTCATTTTAAGTTGATGTTTCTGTAAACAGAAACAATAGTTTAGCACCTTGAATTATTTACTTACTGCTTGTCATGTCTTTAAACAGCTTTTACCTTCCCTGTATTACCAGAGGATTTTTCTCAACAGTTTGGCTTCTTATCCTTTTAAGGTAGACTCCTGAACTCTAAATGTCAGGGGACACACACAATCTCCATCTCGTTCTTAACCTGTGGATTGTGAAAAACATCATCAAAGACTAGATTGGGATTTGACTACCAAGGAAAGAATGACTTTAATAGAGTCAGGAGTTTTAATGTGTCTGCATGTGCATACATCCATATCTTCTGTCTACAACTTGGTTTTCTTTTCAGGTTTTCTGCTAGATCCACAAGGAAGTAATGGCAGGATATACTCATTATTCAAAATTAGTAAGAGAGATGCTCAACGTTATCTTTATTCTTTATTTTTATTTTTTATTTTTTTGAGACAGAGTCTCACTGTGTTGCCCGGGCTAGAGTGCCGTGGCGTCAGCCTAGCTCACAGCAACCTCAAACTCCTGGGCTCAAGGGATCCTTCTGCTTCAGCCTCCGAGTAGCTGGGACTACAGGCATGTGCCACCATGCCCAGCTAATTTTTTCTGTATATTTTTAGTTGTCTGATTAATTTCTTTCTATTTTTAGTAGAGACGGGGTCTCGCTTTTGCTCAGGCTGGTTTCGAACTCCTGAGCTCAAACAATGCGCCCACCTTGGTCTTCCAGATTGCTAGGATTACAGGCGTGAGCCACCATGCCCAGCCAACTATGAGCTCTTGTTTAGTTCACTTTTATATCTTCAGTGTCTTAAAAAATACCTGGCACATAGGAGGCACGCAGTAATTATTATATAAATGATCAATGTGTTATATGAATGAAATGGAAAACAACGATGAAGGTCAGACATTGGAAAGGACCTTTTTAAGATCACGTTGCTGGTAAGGATCAAGCCAGATTTCTATGATCCCAGTTTCCAGGCTCCTGAATGTATCTCTCAGAGGGAAAAGAATTGTGTTAATTTCATTAAGGTGTTGAATTTCAAACTTTAGAAAGCACTATGTTTTATTTCACATTGAGTTCACATTGCAATTGTACAGACTAGGCAAGTTGTTTGGAAGCTTATTGGTGGTCTCTGCTTCTGACTCACTGAAGCAATGTGAAGTTGACTTTGAACTTAAAAAAAATTATTCAACCTACACATGATCATTGTGTAATAGAATATTCAGATAAATAAAAATTAAAATCTCTAAAAATCTTACCACACAGAGAAAACTATTAATAGTATTAATTACGGTCCAAACTATGCTATGCCTCTTACTTATTAAGGTGAGCTATACCTCTTATTAAGGCACTTCAGCATTAGCTTTCTAACTGGTCTTGCTTCTTCTAGTTTGACCTTCTCCCATACTCATACTCTATCTGCAGCCAAACTTTTTTTTTTTTTTTTTTGAAACAGGGTCTTATTCTGTTGCCCACCTAGAGTGCAGTGGTGTCTTCATAGCTTACTGCAACCTCCAACTCCTGGGCTCAAGCAATCCTCCTGTCTTAGCCTCCCAAGTAGCTGGAACTACAGGCGCATTCCAATGCCCAGCTAATTTTTTCTATTTTTGTAGAGATGGGGTCTTGCTCTTGCTTAGGCTGGTCTTGAACTCCTTCCTGATTGTAAGCAGTCCTCCCGCCTCGGCCTCCCAGAGTGCCATGATTACAGGCGTGGGCCACTGTACTTTTCGTTTCTAAGAGTAATGTGTACTCATTGTTAGAACTTCAAATAGTATAGAAATATAAAACTTAACAAGTAAAAACCTCCCACAATCCCACCACCCAGATATAATCACCAATAACAGTTTGGTGTGTATTCTTGTAGATCAAATATTTGAAAGTTTTGAAGAACCTGATTTCATAGTGTAGTAGCAACCATGGTGTCTCTTTGTTTTGGGATTACTCAACTTGATAGCACTCCTCATTTTTTATTTTTATCCCTAATCTCATAATTAACTATAGGCATAATTAGTTTACATTTTGTGGCTGAGTCTTACAATTACTCTGGATCCCTGACCTCTGCATCTTTGAAAAATGACCAGGAGGCTTTTGCTCTGAATCTTAGCCTCCTTCCCTTGTGATTAGGGAACTTTTGATATTCTTTCTGGGTCCCACCGATCATTTTCATTACATGTACTCTTCCTACTTTGGGGAACATTGCTTTGGATTTTCCACGTTTCTTTTAATATTTTTGATTTGACTATCAGATGACTGCTCCTACTTCCTAAGATAACATAACTTTTAGATTAAGTCCTTATGTCGAAATCTGTGCTGTGTCGCTTCTTCCAGTTTTTTGAAATTGCTTTTGTAGGGGAGGACTTTTCCTTGCAGATGTATATATGTTGTTTTCTGGATAGGCTTTGATTTTGGGTGCCTGCAGTAGTGTGATCTGTGTATGATTTCTCTGGTTGTAAACCACATCAGTGGTATCTATGATTTCCTCATTGGCTTAGGGTGTGGTTATTAGTGGAGGCTGTGGTAAAGTTTTACTGGGGACTTGGATGCCAGATGGACCAATCTTTGGGTTCTGGTGGTACATCAATAGGCTGAGAATGCCTGTTCTTGGGCCCCAGAGTGGCTCGTGCTGGTAGCAGTGTTAGTGAGTCAGGAGGGCTGATTCTTGGGCTTCTAGGTGGTTTGCTTGGATGCTGGTAGTGACAGTCGTGAGCTGGGCATGTGGGCAGATTCTTGGGCCCCTGGGAAGCTGGTGTGATGTGGGCAATGACAGTAATAATGGTGTAGCAACCCACTGTAATCCAAGTGGTCCCTGCTGGTGTTGGCAGTGGCTGTGGCATGTTGGATGGGCCAGTCCCCTGGCTTGCTGGTGGTGCATGTGGGTGGGTGCCAACTGTGATGTTATCAGCAGGTTGGGTTGGCCTGACCTCACACCCTACCAGGAGTTATCAGGTGCCAATGGTGGTGGACTTGGCTGGGTGATTTCCAGACCCCTGGGTGGCAAGGTTGAGTACTGGGGGATGGTATGGGGCCACAGACTTGTCTTCAGGCTCCTGGTAGTGCATTCAAGTGCTTCCTGTGATAGGCAGAGGTGGAGTGGTTCCCAGGCCACTGCGGGAATGCTCAGGTATGGGCAGCGGGAGCTGTACTGTGAGTCTGCCACCAGAGAGGTTGGGCCCCTCTCACCTGGAGCAGCATAGGGAGGTAGCTGTAGGGAGTACAGTTTGCTTGTCCCTTGGTCCCATAGCAGCCCACAGCAGTGGATATGCCTGGCCTCCCTTCTCCATCCTTGGCTTGGAGGTGGCAATGGCAGCATCATCCCTAGCTTGGCCGAAGGGCAGGATGCAGACTTTTGGTGTCCAGGCTCTCAGAATGGCACCAGAGTGCAGCCGCTCATGGCTCAGATGCCCGTGGGACTCCACGTGTGTTCCTTTCTGGAGCAACGTCTCTGTGCAATCTCTAGGCAGCTCCCTACGTTAGGATCGAGGCCTGTGGGGGTCAAGGGATTCTCCCATAGCTAAGATTGTAAAATTCCATGGCGGGAGTGTGGGACCCTGGAGGTTTCTCTCTTACCTCTTCTCCACACCTGGAGCCTCTCCTGGCTCCCAGCTGCTCCTGGCCGAGAAAGCTGCCTTGCTTCCCTCTCCATCTTGCTTTCAGTGCTGCTCATCACTTCTCTGCTAAATCTCAGTGTTCTCTTAGACAGTCTATGAAGAGTGAGTATCTACTTGCTATTTTGGTTCCTCTCCGTGGAGGTGGTGCACACTAGCTGCATCTAGTCAGTTATCTTGGGGAGTTCATGTACTGAGAGCCTGCTACGTCACTTCCCCTGCCGGGGCCAGCCCTGGGGGCATGAGCAGGCAGCAAGGATCACAGTTACAGCCAGAGATGCAGCGTGGCCCAGAGCACACCTGGCACACAGCACCAGCCTATTTTGCATAGGTCGCCCCTGCCAGCTCCACCTTGTGCCACCACTGCACCAGGCTCTCTGGCATCCCAGCTGACAGGGAGGGGACCGGCCAGGACTTTTAATAAACATGAGAAATATGAAGTACCAGTTTTTAAAAAGTACTCTGTGAATGTTCAAATATAATATGAAATACTACTAGATAGTGCTTTGGAAAAAAAGCCTGGAAGGAAATACACCAAACTCTTTTTTTTTATTTTTTTTTTTTTTTTTTTTTTTTTTGAGACAGAGTCTCACTCTGTTGCCCTGGCTAGAGTGAGTGCCATGGCGTCAGC